ACAGAGAAGTAAAGGAGAACACCCAGCATGTGTGAAGTTCCACCCCAAGCCCTGACTTTAGAAAAACGAGTCAAAACACAATGAGCTGTGCAAGAATGAGAATTGTGACTGACTGGCTTATATACACCTGAGAACAATGACTAGATGAATTAAAGTCTTGGAGAGTGGAATAAAATAATAAAAAAGAAACGAATGAGAATAATTTCAAGGAAAAAGAAAATGGCGATCTAATTAAATATTTGAAATATCATAGATGGTCTAATTAAACAATCGAAACATCGTGTAAACCTGGCATTTCAGGCTGTGTCTTACTCTGGGAGACCCCACTTTGCAAGCAGCTTTTGATTCCATTTTGAGGATGGAGGATGACTTTTAGCACGAGTGGACACATGAGCCATGTCGTCTGTTCAGTACCACCCTCGCAGCACAGACGGACACACGGCTGTCTCCGGCTTCAGAGGCTTCAGCCATGTTCTGTCTCCACTGCTGACATGACCTACTTAAACTGCTGCCTGCTCGTCTTCCTGTTTTCCTGTCGGGACCTAGTTTTGCCCTTTGACCTCCACAGCTGGACTCAGTCCTGTAGCTCAACTCTCACCCTGTATCCGGACTCCAGCTTCTTCCCGGGCTTTGTTTGGTTCCTTATCGTATCAACACAGACTCTGCATCTCTTATGCACCCCTTTGCTTTCGGGCTTCAGGAAACTCTTGAATTGACGGCGCCTTTGAACCCTTTCCCGTCATTCTGCGACATACACGTGTATCGCCACACACATATCAGATATATTTACTATGTGTGATAGGAGAGGTAATATCAGCAATTAAGATTGAAATAAAAGAACAAATATTTGCCTTGACCAGGGTTATCAAGGGTAGCAGAAGTATCTAGCAGGTTGCAGTCAATGAAACAGCCACATTCTGTGAATTTATTGTTAGTTAACAAATTCTGACAGATGTGTTTGTCTGTGTTTCTGACGTAGCAAGCTCATGACAAAAACCCAATGAATCTTTAAATAGCTTAATAGATTTATTCAGATGGTGATTTTTAAGGTGAGTAGTATTTCTATAAAATGAGCATAATTTATAAACTTAAAACAATTCTATCAAAAGATACCGTTTACAAAGAAAATATACAGAGAAAGAAATCTGCCAAAAAAGAGCAAGGAAAATTTTAGTGTAGGGTCCAGAGAGGTGTCTTAGTGTGTGGAGGCACTTGCCACTAAGCCTGATGACCTGACTTTGATCCCCAGAACCCACATGATGGAAGGAGAGAACTGACTCCCATGAGTTGACCTCTGACCTTAATGCACACACACACTACATAATTAAATGTCACTTTAAAAGTTTAGGAGTTTAGGGGCTGGAGAGATGGCTCAGCAGTTAAGAGCACTTGCTGCTCTTGCAGAGGACCCAGCACACACATGGTGGTTCAGTTCCCAGCACCCACATGGTGGATTACAACCATCCATAACCCAGTTCTAGGGGATCCAATGATCTCTTCTGACCTTCACAGGCACCAGGCACGTACTTGCTGCACATACATACGTGTAGGCAAAACACTCAAATATATAAAATACTCATCTTTTTAATATTTTTTGAAATATAGGTGTTTAAAGGAAGATACTGAAGGATGAGCAAATGAAAAGAGACACCACATTCATGGATTGTAAGGCTGAGCGTGATAAAGAAGCCAGCTCTACCCAAACTGATGTACAAATTCCACTTGATGCCCTCCAAAAATTCTAACAGTTTTCCCTCTTGGTGTTTGTTTGCTAGTAATAGCCCGATTCTACAATGTGTATGGAGGTACCAGTCATACCAGCTCAGCCGTTTCCGAGGGAACAAGATGAAGAGGTTTGCATAAATCAGAAAGGCCACAGCATGAAGACACTGTGGCATCGATCTAAGAGAGATGAGTAAACCACTGAGGCAGACTGGCACAGGCAGGGACGGGCCTGTGTATGTGGGCAGAGTCCATGCGGTAGAGGTGACCACACAAAGGGGGAAGGATTCCCAGAGGGGTTTGTTGGGAAATCTATTTGATCTTGCCTCATGCTAACGATGATCCAATTCTAGGAGATGCTTTACTAGCAGATACTCCTGGGTTACTGTTATGATCCTGAGTCCTTCATTAACAAACCAAAAAAAAAAAATCACCAAATTTAGAGATGTTGGTTAAATTGATTGTATTACAGTTAAGATGTTTTTACATAAAAAGAAAATACTACAAAGGGGTGAAAAGACAAGTTATAGGGTAGGAAATATTTGCAACAAAAAACAATGGAAAAAAGGGGAGTCTCTAACAGAAAGTATGACAAGTAAGAGGGAGTGGGACTCGGGATTCTTTGGATGCAAATCCAGAACTTTACAGAAAAAACCAAAGTGGTTGCTAAACATGTGGCAATTGCTAATTTTCATTTCACTGTCCAGTGGAAACATACAAGAAGCCCACTAACACTTTACAAGAGGCAAGAGCGTCCCTGACAGCAGCAATAGCCACCTTGGAGGCTGGCCAGAGTGCGAATCGGCATAGTCTTACACCTGCAATGCGGTGAGATGGGGTGAAGCACCCCCCCCCCTAGATTTATGTCCACCCAGAACCTTTCCTGTCTGGAAATAGAGTCTCTGCTGATGTCATCACTGAGTGATGTCATGCTAAAGTGTGGGTGGGAGTCTGACACGACGATTGCTATCCTTCTTGGAGTGAGTCCTAAGCAGACCCGCGGGAGGAATAGGCCTGTGTGAAGACTGACACAGGATGTGGTCACCAGTCACCAGAGATCACTGGCAGACACCGGGAACTGCAGGAGGGGAAACCCTCTCTAGAGTCCTCAGAAGCATGGTCTTGCTGACCTGACTTTTAGGGATACACCTCCCCTTTTAGTACCAGTGTGTGGTTCACTGTTACACCACTTGTTAGATAGCGCTATTTTTTTTTTTCTGTTGACGTTTCTCCACAGAAAGAGGTCTCTAGGTGTGTATAGCCAGATGGTTCCTAGAGATACTTTTACATAGTTACCCATACGGGATGGCCAGGCATAGGCATGGGAGCTGACACAGATGCTCTTCCCACCCAGAGCCTCTACAGGCAGCACACACCTGTGTGCCCAGCAAGTGCCAAGCACCCGCCACATATCACATTCGCCATCCTTGGCATTAGGGTGTAGATGCAAAGGTGGCAGCCAAAGCCGGTGCTCCAGGCCTTCCCATCCAGGGACACAGACGGCAGGCGGGCAAGGAGGGCTATGGCGAGGACCAGGCAGCTGGGAGGCAGTGGGAGAGGTGGACTAACTAGGCAGCGGGATACAGTGTGGGGTCCGAGTCTACGTCAACAGAGAAAGGTGGGGACCCGGTCTGACACGCTCTGAGCCAGTGCCAGATAACAGGCGGCATGTGGAGCCCCGGGGTGCAGACACAGCCAGCCACCTCACCCTGAGCTACAACTCTGCCAGCTCCATCAGAGTCTTCAGGAAATCGTGTGCAAGAGCCCAGCAATCCCCCGACACACCTTGCCTATCCATGCCACTTGACGCTGTCCGAACACTATATAACCCATCCCTAGATCTCTGCCTCCACCTTAGAGGAAGCAAGCACTAAGTACTACTGAGGGGACCCCACTGGGACTGTTGCAAAAGGACCCCACTATGATGCTCGCCTTGGCCGGCACTATACCAGAAACCTGAGTGCCTGAACAAGTCAGTGCCCCCCCACCCCACCCCCTATATCCCACCCCTACTTGTGAGCTCAGGTTGAAGATCCTCTCAGGGGACACCCCTCATCCAACCCTGTGTCCTGTTCTGGAGGATGCAGCTCGAAGGTCTTCTTTGAGGATTGGGATGGAGCCAGAATCCCTCAAATATGATGGGACGACAAGGCACAGGCTCCCCACGGTTACCTGATGCTCTGGGTGGTGGAGACTGGGGCTTCCCCGTGGTTTTCGTATTCTGCAGCACCGGGGCAGTGTGCCGTACACTTGTTAAGTTTGGATCCGAGTGTTTAGTGGATTGGGCTCTGGTAAAAACGCTTTTGGGGGCCTTACTGTCTCCATCTTGACCGTTACTAACCGAGAATGCGTAAGTGGGCTTTGCTTGACCTCTGCCCTCAGCAGCCGTTACTGGCACAGACCAGGTGGCTGAAAGTACCTTTGCTTCTTCCCGTTTCCAGTCCTGCCGAAGGCTCATTCGGGAGGGTCCGACGGCTGCGTCCAGTAGAGCCCGGGGGCTGCGCACTTTGAGCGTGGTATCTGAGAACGAGTCTGTGAAGCTGAGGTTGGTGATGGGGGGCATTTGCTTCTTGGGTTTCTTCACACTGATCCCTTCCACACAGAGGTCAGACCCGTTGAACGGCGGCAGCTCCACGGCGGGCTGTGAGAAGAGGGAGCAGGTCAGGATCACCCCCCTGGCCCAGAGAGTCACCTGGCTGGCCCCACACCGAGCCACCTGCCATGCCTTGGAAGCGTTGGCTGTTTCTTCTTCAAGGCCCGGGTGCTCGCTGGGCCCTTCCTCCAGGTCTTGGGGCTCAACCCACAGGGCAGGCAGGAGTCCAGAGGCAAAAGCCTCAGCGTGGATGTGGAGCCTGCTAGACCATCCCACAGGGAGGCCACTGGAGAGACTTCAGAAACAGAATAGGGGGCCTCTGGAGAGAAAGAATCTAAAAGGGGCTGTGGAACCTCCCCAGATACTCAGGCAGGGGCCTCTCCCATTACCCATATGGTTGGTTGGGATATGGAAAAATGACAGGTAGGACAACTAGATTGTAAAGGCCACAGGGCCTAAGTGACAAGGCTGACAAGACCCCATGTCTAGAGTAAACCTTTGCCTTGATGCACACAGGAGGCTGAGTTTGGGGCAGATCAGGCAGATCTACATCGCCCACACCCAAGAGACTGGATTTGTGTCCCGACTGCCTGGGAATGGGTGGCTGCCACACAGAAGCCCAGGCCCACCCACCTCGTGGACAGATACCAGCAGCCTCGGCAGGGTAGCGCCTATCCTCCTCACCTGCCTCCACAGAAGTTCAAAGTTGCCAATGTCACAGTTTCGGTCCAGTTTGCGGTCCACCACAACCTTGATGGTATCTTCCTGCACCTGGGCACAGAGCTGGGCCGTGACGGGAGTGGAGGGGTGCATGGTGGGGCTGGAGTTGATCTCTATGAGCCAGGGCTTGAAGTCTCGCCCCAGGATGAAGTCGGCCCCATAGAGCTCGAAGCTGTTCTTACGGGCTTCTACGTGGTCCTGAGCCACCCTCATGGCATTGGTGACGGCTTTTTTCATAGATGGATAGATGATGGTGCCCCATGTCGTCCCTCGACCCCTCTTCTGCAGGTACTCCTGGAAGCGGGTGCTGGTCCACATGTTATGGCCAGGGAGCAGCGGGCTGCGCTCCTTGTCATTCTTGAGGCGCCTCTGAATGGAGTTGTTGCACAGGTGGATGGCGCTGTGGGCAATGTGCTTGTGAGACTGGTGTATGCCAACAACCATAACACGGAGCCAGCACTGTCTGCCCAGCTTGCCCTGACGTCACTTTGCCTCGTGCAGGGTTGCTGCAGAAGGTGTGGGCTAGTGGTTTTTGGACTGTTAGCTCTGCTACCCAGAAGCAGCCATGGACCCCTCAACCAGCCTGGAGGAACAGCACAGACTGTACCAAGACAGAGCAGAAGCCCACCAATGCAGAACCAACCACTAGGAAAAATAATCAGCCTAAGCCTCAGTTTCCCCAGAGGCACATGTCAGTAGGAGGATGTGAACCACCTACCTAAAGTTTCCAGTGAGTTACTTTATACTTCCACCTTGCTCTATACGGACTTCAAACAAGCAGTCCTTTTTAGAAGACTGTAGGACACTGTTCGGAGCTAAGGGTATTTTCATTTGAACTGCAGGTATAAGGCAGGCAGTTCCAGAGTGAGGCCGGCCCCACAGCCACATGTAAGAAAGGTGAACATTTAAAAGACACAACCACCCATCTACTTCTTTGGCTTCTGTTTGTGTAGCTGGGCTATACCCGTTCAGATACCATTTCTGGGAATCTCGCATCAGCCTCAGCTGAAGGAGGGTGCACGATATTACCACGCACAGGGTCGATGGCTCAGCTGAGCCCATGGGAAGAGGCTGCATGCAGCTCCCAGACTCCATTTTCAGTAAGTTTCTAGACTCTGCTATAGGCTTTTGTCCAGAGGTAATGCAAAAATAGGGGTGGTTGCCTTTAACTATGCCCAGCCCCATTCCAGCTGTGACCTAGCAGGTGTGACTCCAGGTGTGCTGGGGGTAGAGTTCACTCAGCAAAGTTCCTATTGAGCAACCCTCAGCCTCCCAGGATCCCATCTGACTCTCCCTTTCAAAGTCCCCTAGGGCATCCAGGTCCCCAGCACTGCCTGCCAAGTGACAATCACTAAATCACTGAGAAAAAGTCCTGGGTCATCCCTGAGGATGCAGGTAGGTTTTCACTGGAATATGGCTTGTTAGTCCCTAGCACCCCTGAGTGTTTGAGCCTGGTAGCCCCAATGCCCTGACGCTTTGGCAGTGATGGGCAACCCTGAGGGTTCAGAGGGGCGAACAGCAAGGGTGCCTCATCTACACATACTCAAGGGCCTCCTGCGAGGTGCTTAGAGAAATACAGAGCTCCCCCTGCTGACCTGTCCAGCTTGTCCAGGGAGAAGCGCTGTGTGGAGAAACGGAGGTAGCTCTCCTTGTAGAACCAGATGGTGAGGGGATTCCAGTCTGTGACCAGGAACCACTGTCGGATGTCGAACTTGGTGTCGTAGATGAGCATCGGCGTCTCGATGTACTTCTGGACCACCCATTTGTTGTCCTTCGTGGCCTGGTTGTCTGTGGCCACCAGCTCCAGGATGTTCTCCACACGGTCCATGCACACAATATCTCCAAGAACAAGAGGGGGTACCCTTGACCCAGGGCAGCACAGCTCCCCCCCCCCCCCGGCAGTCATTAAAGGCCCCAGTACCCACCCTGGCTTTGGCCCAGCACCAAGAGTTTGCAGGGATGGTTGGGCAGGGCAGATGTGCATTCATCTGCCACAGTTGGTGTCAACCACTTGTTCAGGCCTCCCGCCACGGGGCCAACCCCACACCCCAGAGGGCATTCAGAGATCAAGGGAAAAACAGAGCAGAGAGCCACTCAAGAGCATGCTTTAGGGTTTGGTGAGTGTGATCCACCAAATGGGATCAGCCGGGCACAGACAGGAGGCATTTAATGTCTCCCCACTGGCTTTCCTTTCCTCACAGGCAGACTCTACAATTTCCCCCCTTTGGCCCTAAAGTAGGTTGCATGACTTGTAGGACATGCAGGAAGGAGTGATGTGTGTCACGGTGAGCTCTGCAGGGTTTAATGCCAGTGACAGACCTTGAGGCTCTCTTTTCTCTGCCATGATAATGAAGGATAAGAACGAGGCCGCAAGATAGACAGAGCACCCTTGACCAGGTCAAGGAACACAAGTTTCTGCTGAAATTTGGGGGAGGGGGGCTGTTACACAGCACTATCTGGCCATCCATTCTGTTGATAAAAAGTAGAAGGACTTGTATCCACAGGGTCCCACAGGCACAAGGTAAGTTCTCATAAAGCACATGGCTTCCATTAATTTGGTCAAGGCAAGTTGAGATCTTGCCTAAAATGAAACAAACTGCTGAGGTCGGCTTGGACCTACACCCCGGGGCCACCAGCGGTTGGCAAGAGCATAAGCAGTGAGCAGCAGAGGGAAGGGCATTTATTGAGAACAGCGCATCAGAACAACCCACAGAGTATCCCTGGGGATGGAGTCAGTCTCCAGAGGGAGCATGGTATGGCCTGAGGGGTGAGAGGAGACAGAGATTTCTTAGGACGCGAAGGGAGCTTAGCACAGAGACCAAGAAGGAACACAGCACATCTGCCAGTCAAGGCCACATCACAGGAGCACGAAGGAAGACCTGACCATCTGCAGAACACCAGAAGGGAGTGGACCACATACACCGGGGAAGAGAATAACTCAGGACAGAAGACCTTTAGGATTAGATTAATAAGAAAAATTTAAAGATCACATGCATAGGGCTGGAGATAAGAGCACTTATTACTCTTATAGAGGAGGACTTGGGTTCGGTTCTAAGCACTCATATGGGGCTCATGACCACTCATAACTCCAGGAGTTCTAATAATTTCTTCTGGCCTCCACAGGCACCACACACACACACACACACACACACACACACACACACACACACGGTGCACATATGTACATGCAAGAAAAAAAGAAAAACACTCATACACATAAATAAATCTGATTTTTTAAAAAAAAGAAATCACATACATGCCGGGCGGTGGTGGTACACACCTTTAATCCCAGCACTCGGGAGGCAGAGTGGATCTCTGTGAGTTCAAGGCCAGCCTGGTCTACAGAGCAAGATCCTGGACAGGCATCAAAACTACACAGAGAAACCTTGTCTCAGAAACAAATAAATCACAAATACAACCTGCACACTAAGAAACTTCAGAAGATCTCAAGAGAGCAACAGGATATGCAAACTAAAAAGTCTGTTTAAATACCACAGAGAAATAGGACATTCTGTAACAGAGACAAAAGGATGCAGCTAATGCCACAGACTGAGGGAACTTCGTAGCCTTAAGTCTTCTATTATTTCACAGGAAAGCCTGGAAATAAACCAACTTAGCTTTTAAGTCAGAGACAAGAGAAAAAATTTCTCATAGGAAAATTGAAAACTGAACCATTGACTTTGGAAATGCAAGATAAGGAAATCACACACATGCACATGAACATGCAGACACCATCACACACATGCATTCATACACACACACACACACACACACACACACACACACACACAGTATTAAGAAAGAAGAGAATGACCGGGCGGTGGTGGCTCACACCTTTAATCCTAGCACTTGAGAGGTAGAGCCAGGCAGATCTCTGTGAGTTCCAGGCCAGCCTGGGCTACAGAGTAAGTTCCAGGACAGGCACAAAGTTACACAGAGAAACCCTGTCTCGGGGGAAAAATAAAGAAGAAAGAAGAGAATGTAATTCCATCTGCAATTTGGGTAGATGAGGCAGAAAATGTGAACAGGTGAATAACCTACAGGCAAATTTTATGAGGTGTTCCAAATTTGCCTCTAAGGGTTCTAGGTTCTACAGGTGAACTTTACCATGGCCCATGGGATGTGAAGCACACTGCTTGGGATGATGGTCCACCCTTCTTAAAGGTCAGAATAAACCTATTGCTAAGATCAAGGTAACACACATACACACACTAAACAAACAAACAACACCCCCCCCCAAAGAAAACACTCTGGAATTGTTTAACTGATGGATACAAATGATACTCAGCAGACTCCGGGACAGGACTGTGATGGACACTCCCCCCTCCAGCACCGCTTGGGCACCCCTGTCTGACCCTGGCAGCACTCCTTGAATCTCCCTCCATCATAGAGCAGGTGCTGTCAAGGTTGGAGACTTGCATGATGGGGAGGCATCTGCCCAGGGAACTCACCTCGACCTCGGGACTTTGCTGCAGGTTTTATGATCCAGATGTTCCGAATCCCGTCGATCTCTGTCTGAGGGTTCACAGAACTGATCTTACTCAACAGAGTCTGGCACTGTGAAAAGTAACTTCTTGAATCAGGGATGAAGGCATTGCCACTAAAAAGCAAGATCCAGAAAGGGCATGAGGCTCTGAGAGACAGAGGCCAGCCCCAGTGATTGGTGAGTGCCTCTGCTCTAGGACAGGCTGATGGCTATCTGACAAGGGTTAGAGACAGCAGAGGATGTCTACCAACTGAGGATACCACCTGGGGTCACGGACCTTAGAGGCTTGTACCTGGACAGGGTGTGTCAAGAAGTAAGGACCCTAGCTGGGCATGGTGGTGCGTGCCTCTAAGCCCAGTACTCTTGGAGGCAGAGGCAGAGGCAGGAGGATCTTTGTGAGTTCTGGGCCTGCATGGTTTACATAGCAAGTTCAAGGACAGTCAAAGTTACATAACAGAGAGACCCTGTCTCAAAAAGGAAGGAAAAGAAAGAACAAATGAAAGAAAAAAGAAAAGAAGAAAGAAGGAAAGAAAGAAAGAGAGAAAGGAAGGAAGGAAGGAAGGAAGGAAGAAGAAAGGAAGGAAGGAAGGAAGGAAGGAAGGAAGGAAGGAAGGAAGGAAGGAAGGAAGGAAGGAAGGAAGGAAGAAAGAAGAACCCTGACACATGGACCTGTACTGCCTGTACAGACAAGGACACCAATTCTATACCAAAGGAAAACCAGAGATGGGTGGGTCCCTGTGCCAAGACACTGCCTTCACTGTTGTTGCCAGAAAGGTCCATATAAAGGAAGCCAAACTGCCATGCAGACTCACCTGTGCCACAGTAGCAGCCAGCTTATGGTCCTGTGACCTAGACTGTCAACCTAATCCCATGCCCTTGTTGGTGACTTCAGACTCATAGGAAAAGGCCTAGCTCAGAAAGCCATCATAATCTCAGGGAGTAAGGTCAGAGATCAGTAGAGATGTCTGAGCAGCTTTCAGAATTTGAGGGCACACTATTGGCACCTGGGAGAGAAAAAGCCACCACAACACCCACAGCCCCTCTCGGGTTCTGTGGGAGCCTCCTTATGTGGGCAGACCCAGGCACAGTGAGGAATGCTCAGTTCAGGCTCCCTGCATACTGTCCCGTGGCTGCAGCTGAGCCGCAATTCTGGCTGCAGCCCTAGAGGTGACAGCAAGGGCTGGGGACAAGAGACACGTATATTCTGTCCACCTGCTGGGGAAGGAGGGCGCCGTCTAGGAAAAAGTGAATAATGGAAATCCCTCGAGTGTGGGTTGGAGTTTCAAGGAAACACGGTCCTCCTGGTGTCAGTTTCCACCCCTGGCTGCAGGGAACAGATCGGCATGGGATGGTGTGGTCATGCCCTCGCTGGCCAGACACCAAGCAGAGCCCACTCCCCTGCTCTACTGGATGTGGGCTTCCTCTGCAGATGTTAGGTGTTGACCAACTCCATAATGATAGGACAGCTCTGCCATAACCAGTACACGGCGCAAACCGGTACAGACGACCCCCAGCGTCCCTATAACACCATCTGGTCCAAAAGCATGGGCCAGACTAGTGCGATGGTATTATCTGCTGATGGCATGGATACTTTCACCCCCGGGGATCAGAAAGACAAGTGCTTTGCTGTTCAGTGGGAAGGAACTCCCTATGACGGCTGCAGGACACTGGAGCCCGGGTCCTGGGGTGACATACTTTCAGGGGTGAGTCAGCACTGGACTCATGTGATACCATGCCATGTCACCCACATTATGTCGCCTCTGCCACATAATGAGAGGACGTAAAAGTTAGGATATCGCCGAGAACAGAGCAGGAGACCGGCCCGTTTGAAAAATGCTCAGATTCTGGACATATTCATGCTGACCGAAAAACAGACAGGGTCCCTGCAGGTCCTGTGAACACTCATGTGGGAACCTGTCAGTCTTAACAAGGACCATCCCCACTCCCCACCCCCCAGCCTCTGAGCGGGCTATAGTGCATATCAGGGACAGTCCCTGCAAAGCCCCAGAGAACCTGCTCACCTGACAGGGTCACTCCACACCACACTGGAACCCAATGCTGCCACCCAGTGGTGAAGCCTCAGGTTCTTTTTTTTGTAGAGGTTTAAGAAAATGGGGTATAGAAAGCCCTAACAGAAAAAGCGAAGTTTGATCATTTTTGCTCATGTGCACTCTTGTGTCGATACCACCAGCTCGAGATCCATACAGCATGGGCTGCTAAGAAAATTCTCCAGTATTACACCCCAGTCGACGGTAGCTAGTTATCATTCTCACTTTCTGCCACAGGGACGGGCTCTGCCTTTCTTGAACTTCACACCCATGGTCAGGGATAGGGGACCTACACTCTCTCTCTTTCTCTGCCTCCCCCCCATCCCCTCCCTCTCCAAAGGGGTGTCTTTTAGCCTCACAACTGGGAGATTGGTCCATGGCTATGCCATTTGCAGCCCCTGCTCTGACATGACCAGGGCTCACTGGGCTCACTGAGTCTTTCTGAGGCTGGGTGCTTCCATTTCTCCAGGGATGGAAGAACTGCATCATAGGTCATATAATTCTTGCTTTTCCAAAATGCTTTGCTTGGCGCTCACACCAGCACTGCATTAGAGCTGCTGACTTAGGCCAGCACTTGGTGTTTTGAGTCTTTAGTCCGGCATGAGGTGTCCCATCATGGGTGTTTTTGGTTGCTTCTTTTTCCTTCTTCAGCTTTTGAGACAGTCTCGTATATAGCACAGGCCAGCTTTGAGTTCAAGGTCCTTCTGGAATGATAGGAGCTACTACCAAGAGTTTACTGTTGTTCTGATAAGCTCTGATACTGGGAACTTACCTAGTCTGATTAGACAGCTGAGTTTTGTCTTTCATGAAGTGTCTGTTCTTTTTTCTTTTTTTCTTAAGACAGGGTCTCATGGAGCCCAGGGTAGCATTGAACTTGCTGTGAACCTGAGGATGACCTTGAACTTCTGATCCTCCCACTACTACCCCCTGAGTGCTTGGGGCTACAGGCATGGGCCTCCACTTTCAGTGTCTGTGGGTGCTGGAGATGGAAATCAGGGCTGCACACTGGATAGAGAAGCACTCCACGAACGGAGCATTTCATTTGGTTAATTTCTCCTCTCTCACTTATTGTAGCTAATTCGGTAGCTTCTAAATGGGAACCTCCGTTGGATGTGTGGACAGTGGGTCTGTCTCTAGTTTGCAGCTTCTGCTTCCATCCTCTTTACAATGCTTTTTTGAGAAACACAGTTCTTAAGCCAACGCAGAGCATTTTATCAACTGTTTTCTTGTTAATTGTTAGTGCCTAATAAATACAAAGATACAGCCAACTTGATTAGGAAGGAACCATGTCTAGAACAGCTCATATGAGGGAGAATGAGGATAACGCCCGAAAAGGAGAGTAAACAGAGCATGCGCCTCCTTTGATGGATTGAGTCGTGAACGTGCACAAGTGTTAGAGAGACCAATGGTACACAGCACATAGTCAGGAACAGACACATATCAGGAGGACTCTCCTGACAACCATGAAGAAAAAGACCAGGTAACAGACACATGGGACACAGTGTAACACACATACACTTGGGAGTCCCAGGAAGAGAAGACAGAGAGCATGAAGCAGAAGCAACAGATGTAGAAATAATGATCAGAGTCTGAATTTGGGGAAAAATGTCAACCCATGGTTAGAAGATGCCACACAAACTCAAACAAGGATAAATACAAAGAAAAGCATTCCTATAAAAATAACAAATATTTCTTATTGAAACTACTAAAACCAAAGACAAAAATCCTTAGGCAGACAGAGAAAAGAATACTACTTCCCTCCAGAAGGGCTAAGATTCCAGCAGAAAACTTCTAATTAAAACAGCATGAGCCAGAATATGATAGAATAGCATTCCAACAGCAAATTGAGAATTCTATCCTGGAGAAAATATCTCTCAAAAATGAAAAAATTTTAATCTTTTTGAGACTAAAAAGAAAATGGAGGAAGTTTTCTACCACAGGCCATTACTAGAAAATATATTAAGAGATTTTTTTTGATGAACAACAAAATGACTGATGTACAAAAAAATGAAAGTAACTGATTTCAAGCATGTCACGGGCCCTTTAAAAGCAGAGAGAAGATGGAGAGATGGCTCAGATGTTAAGAGCACTTACTGTCCTTGTGGAGGACCCAGATTAGTTCTTAGCACCCACATCAGGTGGCTCACAATCACCTGGAACTCCAGGTCTAGGGACTCTGTGGGCACCTGATACACTTGAATGAACACTCATTCAGGCACACACATACACATAAATAAAAAAGTCAATTAAACAAAGATAGACAGAAATGAATGACAAGATGTCAGGAATGGGTGGAAGTAAGCCAGGCCACACTGTCGTGATTTGTATGGGAAACAGTGAAAGTGCTAATTAAAGATGAGTAATGAGGCATAAAACGTAAGAAGGTTTTGGGTGCAGTGACTCATGCTAGACCCTGTCAAAAAAAACCCAAACAAACCTATATTGTAACTTTTAGGTTTGGCTTAAAAAAAATAAACAGAGTCTTGCTATATATACCCCATGCTGGCCCCAGACTCAGTGCAGAGCCTCGTCTTGCCCTGACCTCAAGGCCTTCCTGCCTCAGCCTCCTGAGTGCTGGGATGACAGGCATAAATCAACAGAAAAGAGAGGAGAAAGGAGAGAAGAGGAAGGGAGGGGAGAGGGGAGGAGAGGGGAGAAGAGAAGAGGAGGAAAAAGACGGATAATGAAATGGAGAGAAGGACGGGCCAACGGGTGAAAATACCCCGGACAGTACGTGGGAGTTACCACAGACCCTTGAAACAAGCATTGCCCCCCCCATTCTGTCCCCCTAGCGTGTCTGGTGGTCACCATGGGGGTGGGAGGCTGAGGAAAGTAGGGAAGTAGCGTCATTATGTGGGCCTTGGTGCTGAGGGGTGACCAGCATCCTGGGCAGTCTGAAGGCCTGGGAAGCGCTTCTGCCCGTCATCACTCATCAGAGCCTACCCGGCCCTGAGCAGGACAAACTTACCCGGGGTTTTTGTGGGTCCAAGTGAGATCAAGCATGAAAGGAACTAGGAAGGCACAAAATGAGATGGTATCCCCAAAAGACACCCACAGGAGGTGTCATATTTTTAAACAAATAACAAAAGGTTTTGGTACCCCAGCAGCCAATAGGCACCCATGATACCCAGGGCAGGTGCTCTAACATCTCAAGGTACCCCAAGACTCAGGAGGTATCCCAACCTCAGATAGGTGCTTCAGAAGGTAGATAAGCACCCTAGTATCTAGACAGATGCCCAGACTCCTGATAAACATCCCCACATCAAGGCAAGTGCCCCCAGCACCCAAACAGGTGCTCCAGCACCCAGAGACACATCCCAGTGTGTGCACACAGGGACACCTCTGGAGTCAAGGAAGTGGGGTAGCATCTTACTGAACCAGTAAGTAGTACTGCTTGGTCAGATCATTCCACTCTTCCTCAGACAGGGCATCAGTGCTGGTCTCTGATGCGTCGATGTCCTCATGCTCCAGCTGGCCCAGGTAGGCCTGGCACACCTTGCAGGCTGTGTCCACAAGCTGTCCTGAGAGGCCTTGGAACTTGAGGTCAGTATTATCAGGATCTGGAATTCAGAGCACGGGCACTGAGTGGAACCCCCACCCAGGGCACAGAGGCTGCCTCCCATTCCTACCACCTCTCCCTTGGGAGAGTCTTGTCAAACCCACTGTACAGCATCATCACTCCTGCCACCAGGAGCTCAGACTCTGAAACTGGACTTGGATGTCATGGTAGAGAGGAGACAGTACTTTTCAAGTGCCACCAAAACGCATGCTTTCTGCTCACGCACTCTGCGACCAGACCTGTGCTGCTCTGATACCTGTGAGCACTTTGAGCTGCCTTGATGCCCAATTCCTATTGCCACAGAGCCTCCTGCACCACATGCACTGGGGGCGTTGGTGGGTCCTGGCACCTGAACCTTTACACCATGTCTCACCCCTTCTCAATCCCATGATTCAGGACCACTGTTGAGTCTCAGGAAGTACAGACTGCACGTGGCCTCAAGAATGTGGCCAGCAGGCTGAGACCCCTTCCTGGCTAGGCTGCCCCGGGAGGTAGTGAGATTGCAGCACAGATGTGGAACGGTTAGGGGGCTCCAGGCGCAGTGCTGGCAGAGACATGGCACTGGGGAGCGCTGTGATGGGCACAGGCTCACTGAGCATGCCGCGAAGCCAAGGGCAGTAAGTTTAGGTGGCAGTTTCAGAGAGTACAATGGGCATGTGAAATTCACAGAACGTAAACCAACCATTCAAAAGCCAACGTGCCACTTCTGGCTCCAACGCGTGGGAGGTGTGACTGTCTGTACTCTTTTAAGTCAAAAGTTGAGCTAAACAACGAACGGTTTCTGACCTTCCAAAGAAGTGGGGTCAAAGACAAAAACCAATGTCCCCAAAATTAGAGAGAGAGAATATCATGACTAACTGGAATAGAAACCTTCATGGGATGAATGGGAATAGGAAAAGCCTGGCTGTGGGGATGAACTCTAAAGGCAATGTCACAAATGGTGGAAAAGGAGAAGAGGAAACAATGAAAACACACACACACACACACACACACACACACACACACACAGAGAGAGAGAGAGAGAGAGAGAGAGAGAGAGAGAGAGAGAGAGAGAAATGCAGAGAAAATAGTAACCATCCAACTCCATCAATAATCACCTTCAACACCGATGGCCTACACACACCAGTTAAAAGATGGCCAGGGTAGATTAAACAAGACACAACTATTTTCTCTAAGAAACTTCCATGAAAACAAAGCTACCTTAAGTTAGAAGTAAAGAGACAGGAGAAGATACACCATGCTAACATCAATCAAAAGAAAAGTCAAAAAGCTGTGTTATCATCAGGCAAAGCAGACTACAGAGCAAGGGGAATGATCAGGGATAAAAGGAGCTTTATACAATGAAAAAGAGTCAATTCTCCAGAAAAATGTAACAGTAACTAATATACACATACCTAACAACAGAGCTTCAAGGCAGCAAAAAGCTGGCACAGCTCAAAAGACAAACAAATATACCACAATCATAGAGACTTCAATATTCCTATACCAAAAATGGGCATGTCCAGAGGGACCTATGGCTCAGGCCTGCCATCTCAGCTACACGAGAGGCCGAGGTGGACTGATCACAAGTTTAAGGTTTGCCTGGTTACAGAGTGAGCTCAAGATCAGCCTAAGTAACTAAGATTCTGTCTCAACACTTAATGAGGGCCTGGGCTGTAAGTGGTAAGATACTTGCCCAGTATATGTGAGGCCCTGGGTTTAATCCACAGCACTATAAGAAGAGGAAAATTTTTAAAAAGGAGAGAGAAGGAACAAGTGGTCAGATCTAGGTGAGTTCAAGGCTAGTCTGGGAAGTGGGGGAAGGAAAGAGGCAGCGGGTAGAGACTAGGTAAAGACAGCAGAACTCAACAGCACCATGTGTCAACTGGATGTAACTGATGTCACACGCTACTACATCTACAAACAGCGGCATACTCATGGTCCTCAAGAAAGACCTCAGTCTGGCCATAAAACACATGTCAACATAGTCAAAAGGACACATCCCCTCTGAATCATAACATGTCCCCTCTGAAACTAAGATGGGATTACAAGTAGAAATCAAGAAAAAGAGCTGGTCTACAGAGTGAGATCCAGGATAGCCAGGGCTATACAGTGAGGGTCTGTCTCAATAATAGTAGTAATAACACACAGGGTAAAGAAAAAAACATAAGAAAATTTAAACTGTCTTCAATTAGATGAAAATGGAATCACAACTTACAAAATTTCAGAGGTGGCCCCAGAGCAGTGCTTAGAATATTTATATCAGTGACTGCTTATAAAATTAGAAATCTAGCCAGAAAGTGAGAAAAAGAAAAACTCAAAGTAAACTGAAGAAAATAAATAATAAAATTAGGGTAGAAAGTGAAAACAGGAAAACAATAGAAAAAACTAATAAGCCCTGTGGTGGCTTTGAAATAAAATGGCCCTCATAGGCTCATAGGGAGTGGTACTATTAGGAGGTGTGGCCTTGTTGGAATAGGTGTGGCCTTTTTGGAGGAAGTGTATTACTAGGGGCAGGCTTTGAGGTCTCAGATGCTCAAGCCAGGCCCAATGTGGCACTGTTACTTCCTGCTGCCTTCAGATCCAGTGTAGAACTCTTAGCTACTTCTCCAGCACCATGCCTGCCTGTACACCACAGTGCATACCACCGTGAAGATAATGGACTAAGCCTCTGAACTGTAAGCCAGTCCCAATTAGATGCTTTCCTTTATAAGAGTTGCAGTGGTCATGGAATCTCTTCATAGCAACAAAAACTGTGGTGGTATGAAAGAAAATAGCCCCCCAAAGGGAGTGGCACTATTAGGAGGTGTGGCTTTATTGGAGTAGATATCCTTGTTGGAGGAAGCATATCACTGTGGAGGTGGGCTTTAAGATCTCATATATGTTCAAGCTTCACTCAGTGTGATACTCACACCACTTCTTGTTGCCTGTAAGATATAGGACTCTCAGCTACTTCTCTAGTACCATGTCTGCCTGTATGCCACCATGTCCCATCATGATGATGATGGACTGAACCTCTGAAATGTAAGCGAGGCACCCCAATTAAATGTTTTCATGTATAAGAGTTGCTGTGATCATGGTGTCTCTTTACAGCAATAGAAACCCCAACTAAGACAGAAGTTCTAACTAAGACAAGCCCTAAATTTAGATTTTTTTTGAAAAGAACAATACAATGAACTAATCCCTAGCTAGGTTAAGAAAAAGAGAGAAGACACAAATTACTAATATTGGAATTGAGAGGGGACATCACTATAGACACCCCCTCATCACTGTTTTTCAGCATTGTAGTAGACAATGCAATAAGACAAGAAAAAGAAATAAAATGAACAGAGATTGGAAAGGAACAAGATTGTCTTTAGTCACAGACAATAGGACCATCTTTGTAGAAAAATACAAAAGATTTAACAGAATCCTGGAAGTACATGTGGCTATAATCTGTCACTTTCCTATGTAGTGAACAACTGGAATTTGAAATTTAAAAAATTTCCATTTACATTAGACCTGTGTGTGTGTGTGTGTATGTGTGTGTGTGTGTGTGTGTGTGTGTGTGTGTGTGTTTGAGACAGGGTTTCTCTGTGTAGCCCTGGCTGTTCTGGAACTCACTCTGTAGAACTGGCTGGTCTTGAATTCAAGAGATATCCACCTGCGTCTATCTCCCAAGTGTTGGGATTAAAGGCGTGCACCACCATTGCCAGGCTGAAAATATAATTCTTTTTTTTTTTTTTTGGTTTTTCGAGACAGGGTTTCTCTGTGTAGCTTTGCGCCTTTCTTGGGACTCACTTGGTAGCCCAGGCTGGCCTC